AGGTCACAGGTGTTTTTTCGATGTAGTAACCAGATAGGTTGCTTGATGCAGGACAAGTACTATATTTGAACAAGCAGAGTGCATTGAATTGCTGAACCTATGCAGGTTTATCACAGGTCTAAGAACAGTTCAACAAAATATGTGCAATACATTTTTCAAACTATGTGCAATACATTTTGCAAACCAGCACATCACATTTTTAGAATGTTATTACTTTTATACTTGTCTGGCAATTCGCGTCCCGTTGCTGTTGCATCAGGTGTCCCAAGCGTAGTGTACTCGGGCCTTTTTTTGTTTCTAATATATATCAATGATCTACCAACATCAATTAAATCTACAATTAGACTTTTCGCTGATGCTTGACTTACTTACCGGAAAATTAATACACCTTTAGTGATCACAATATTGTCCAAGACGATTTAGATACAATATCATCATGGTGTTCCCTATGGCAGATGAACATTAACACATGTAAATGCAAAGAAATGTCCGTAATTAAGTCCTCCACTAAAACACTAACTCAGTACTCGTTACTTTCCCAACCACTAGAACAATCATTGTCGTTCAAGTATTTGGGCGTGTATTTTACAGACTCATTATCATGGATTGAGCAAATAAAAAATAGCGCACTAAAAACACTTAGTTTGGGAAAAAGCCATTTGTATGAGAAAATTCTTGTGTTCAATAAACACATGAATCATACACATGAATCATACAAGATATATAATAACCATATAAAAACTATATGAGAACTATATAAGATACATAAGAAACTTCTTACAAGTTTCTTATAAGTTCTTATATAGTTCTTATATGTTTCTTATAGGGCTCTTATATATCTTGTATGATTCATATGTGTACTGGACACAGAAATTCCTCATACAAATGAGATTTTTCAGTAGGGATCTAGCTACCATCAAGACAAAACTACTCGCATACAAAACATTTATCCTGCCAACATTAGAATATGCAAGCATAATTTGGAATCCACACCTAAGTTACCTAACCTTGAGGCTCGAATATTCAGAACAAAGCAGCCAAATTTATATGCAGTGATTATTCATCCGAAACTAGTGTCTCCGCTTTAAAAACTAGCATAAATCTTCCTAATTTAGAAAGAAGACGAAAAATAGCCCGATTGTGTTTTTTTCAAGATTTATATTACTCAGATTCCAATTTTCAATCTATTTAGTGCTGGGCTGCCAATTTTATATCATCCATATTAGAAAAGTCCTGCAAGATTGAACCAATTCAGTGCCATACTTACACTTTCCTCTTTTCTTCCTTAGTACTTTGCAACACTGACTGGAACAAACTACCTGGCCATATTGTAACTGTGAGATATCCCCTTTTCATTTAAAAAAAGTCCATCAATTTGTGTAACTGAACCTTGATTTGTAAAACTGCATCATAACAATAACCTGCTAATAAGCGTGTTTTTTTGTGTGTGTAGCATTTTTTTTTGTTTGTGCCTATTTTTTATGTTTAATTACTTTTTCTGTCTTTTATTTTTGAATCCTCCCTGATGTAATGCGTCTTTAGATGCGTTTGAGGTGAATCAAATTAAATGACACGAATGCCTCTGCATCATTTATTCAATTGTTAATTTAGTTCATTTTATACTACCTCGATTATTGCCTACTACCTCGATTATTGCCATTTTATAGGGATTCTTTTTTATACAACTCCCATGTCACTCAGAAATAATTACACCACCCAGTTTATCGCTTAAAAAAAATAACACATCTGAGTCAAGATATCACTTTCTTGTATTTCACTACAATAATTGTAGGTTATAATAATTTTCCTGCGTTTTAAAATTGGTTCTTTAAATCAATCAGCGTTCACAGCTCGCATGTTAGCTCATAAAAAATAAATAGTGCGAAAACCCGCGTTTCTACGACGTAAAAGCTGCGCGCGAAGCTTTCAGCTCAGCTCTATAGCGCGGCGCTCGTCAGCCTGCTGCCGTGACGTCACTGGAGGCGTGTGCTGGCCTTCTCCTTTAGGTGGTGTTGACACGCCGCGCTCGCGCGGAACCACGGTGTGCGGAACACACTCCAACGCCGTTTGAAAGCAAGATGCCCGTCACACACGAGCGACGGAAACGGACGACGACGAGCGGCGGTTACCATAGCGACTGCCGCGGACGCTGTGACGTAGACCGATGCCGTGGCGTCACGTCACAGCGCCCGCGGCGGTTGCCATGGAAACCGCCGCGCGGCGCCAGTTTTTGACGCTCTTTGGGTAATGGGGGTTAGGAAACGCCCTTGTAAATAACGTGCTAAAAGTGAGGTGCTAAGTTGTATCTACAGTGTGCCAACGAAACCGGATGAAACATTTAGGCCGTGTAAATCAACTTAATAACTTATCGCGAGATTTTTTTTTCTTTTTTACTCGGGTAAGTTTGTTTTTTGAAATGTTCAAGCGACGCTTCCACCTCCTTCGGGCACGTCTGTAGTAAATCGTAGCGCGATACGTTACTAAGCCGATTTTCGCGACACCTTTAGAGGCTTCATCCGGAATCGTGGGCACGCTCTAATTTCAGTTTTCGGTTACAAAAAGCTTTGCTTCCAAAAGCTTAGTTCCTTTTTAAAAGAAGGAGCGAGTAACGTATTTTCCTTACCTTTCGGCGGAGTAACGAGTAGCGGTATTCAATTACTTTTCGCCGTAACATGTGCATGTCTATGTCTAGCAGGCATGGTGGTAAATACGCCTAAAAAAACACGGACAAGAAAAAAGCACACAGGAAGAGGCGTATACGCCTCGTTCTGTGTGCTCTTGTCCGTGTTTTTTTAGGCGCATTTACCACCCTGCAAAAGTGCCAACTAGCCCGACTCGCAGTTTGAATACAGTCTAGCAGGCACGCCCCCCCCCCCCCCAAAATCTTCCATTTTGCTGGAGCCTCCTCTCCCCCCCCCCCCCCCCCCCTATACAGCATTTTGTCATAGGCGCCCCCCCCCCCTCTCCCCCCGGGATCAAGATCGTGGCTACTTGCCTTATGCCTAGGAAGACGTCTACAAACAACCATCAGTTGAAGATGCTAGCGAGCAAAACAAAATACAATTTACATTAAAAAACTGAAAACTTTAGCAAAGAATTTGCGAAGACTGGATCAACGCCGTCGATCTCTAGCTCGTTTCACTTTATGTGCAAACGTTGCGGAAGCTACTAAGACGCGAGCATGTTGTCCTGAATTAGGCCCGCACGGTACGGGGGCGCGTTCGTGCAGGGACGCTGACATAGCTTTGATCAGCATAGTTCGCAAACTATACGGGGTGTTTCTGAGCTAAAATCATCTGGTGGGCTGGTTGACAGTACAACTTGGTAAAAGTAGCGCAAAGTCAAGGGAGGAAGAACTTAGAGACAGGATAGAGCGCACTATCTGTCTCCCCGTTCTTCCTTCCTTGTCTTTGCCCTAAGTTTACCAACGTGTTTTTGAGCGTACTTGTTCGTGAACAAATTTATACTATGAGAAATAAACAGAGTGAAATTAAACTTTTCACAAGATGTCTTTGGGTAGATCATTTAGCATCGTTAAATTTCATAAGTGTGGGTCTCTGAAAACAAAAATCAAGTAAAAATATTCTTGCATTTTTATGTACATGGAGGAAAACGTAAACTGTCTGAATTATCATGGACATATTTAAGGTGAAAGGGAGTGGGGAGAGGAGGGCGGCCGTTCTCCCTCAGCTCTTTAAAATCGCCTCGTTAAATGAAAAAAAAAAAAGCGGCAGACACCCGTTGTGTTAAGAAGAAATGTGTAGCTTTTGGTACGACAGCAAGTGTTCGATGAACAAAATAATAGACCCAGCAGATCCAGCAGATTTGAGAAGACGGGATAACTGAAGGACATCCCTGCAGGGGATCTAATATGGACACTTGGCGTAAAAGTCGACGAGGGACTCGGCGGCCGCGACTGGCCGGATCCGCGCATGACCTCGGCGCCGGTCAATCACGGCGGTCGAATTCCTAGCCGACTTTTTTGCCTAGTGGTAAGATCAGAGCCCCAGTTCTTATACTACTTGCGGCTACAACTACCGCTACCTGTATATGAGCACGAAAAGCTTCAGCTAAAGCTACAAATATATATATATATATATATATATACATATTATATATATTGCAGAAAAAAAAAGAGGAAAAAAATCGCGCCTTTTGCAATCCTGCAACTTGTCAGATGTCCGGTGGTTTCAAAGACAACCCGGTCAATATATATATAATCTGGGATTACAACTGTTTTCAGCTAACGCAGTGTCCCTGAATTACGAGGTATAATTTATCTTCTCTGTATTGTGTGTAGCCCTACAGATATCAGGGCTCAAAGTTTGGTTTCGGGCGTGTACGGCAAAACCAAAACTATCTGCTAGAGGGATGGCAACACTGATCCTCAGCAATAGGGCCGCGACATGACGCCACGAAGGTGCTGCGCGGGGTTCCTCGACTAAAAGCGAACCCGCTTGCCGCCCGCTAGAGAGCAGCTGGTCGCTTCCTTAAAATCGGTTCTAGTGGAGTAGGCCGCTTCACGTTGACGTAATATTTCGACTGGGATCGTATTTCGTGCCACGAAAGCGATACCAGAAAATTTATTTCGGTTTTGTTTTCGACCGCAGTTGACCTTTAAACAATATAATCCTCGTGTTGACACAGACACAGACACACACACACACACACGCACGAATTGTAATGTCATATTCTAACAAATCGGTCGAGATAAGCCACGCAGACAGGCTGGTCGAGTGTAGGGCGCCAGACGCGCTGAGATTGGCGAGAAATGCTTCCAGCGAGACGACTAGTCACAGCGATCTAGGCACGGCTGATTCAGAACGCCCTCGGAGTTTCGAAGGATCCATCAGAATTTTCAAGCCGTTCCCAGGCTGCCTACCCAGGCACAAGGCGGCACGCAACACTTTAGCTTGCCACCTGGTGGCTACGACGTGAATCCCCAAAAAGAAGAACAACGGTCCCCCAGGACGTCAACGAAAAGTTTTCGGCGAACGTACCTTGAGGCTGGGTGACAGGGCGTACTTGGTGCGGAGGAACTTCTGGAGATGGTTGACAGTGAAGGCAGCAGGGCAGCTGAGGAACCGACGCTGCCTCCGGTCCTCCTTGCCCTGTGGAGAGAGAGAAGCGCTGTCGGCAACATTTGCTCCTAGATAGCGAGGCTTCAGTCCGGAATTTTCGCCATCACGGTTCACAGACACCAGGAGGCGAAAGCTTGCACTACAGTTACCGTCTGGAAGAGGAGTTGGGGTTCCCTTTCCTGTTTCGTCCGCGACTCAGACGAGTCGCACAGGAGACAAGAGGGGTAGCACATCTCCCTTAGCGAACGCCAAACGTAGTTTTGAGCTATCGCCGCTGTGTGGCAAAGGCCCGCGCGGAGGTCTTCTCGAAAAAAAAAAAAAATAATGTCCAACGGCCAGGACTCGTGTTCAATCGGTGAGAATACGAATCCCAGACGAACGGTGACGCGGTGCTAGCATCAAATCTGTGCACGCGCGCTGGACCCTCGTGGGGGACGTCTATCTAGGCGTTGGTTCGGCGACAAAAGAGGCGGCGAAGCGGGGGGACACTGCCGAGGCTAGGGTCAACCGCAACTGCCTCGAGACCGGCAGCGACCAACGGCGCTCGCGCGATGTCAACAACAATCGTCGACAAGGCGAGAAGGGGGCGAAGATTTGTATCGCACCGGCCACGCACAAGCTCGTTTACCGCTCGCCGCTTTCCCTTTACTCTCGTCGGTCGGGTCGACAACGTGACAAAGCGATCACGCCGGCCGCTGCTTTTATTTTCTTTTTTCGCCTTTACAGGTTGTCTTTTTTATCGTACCTTCCTCGCACGACGGAGACCTGTCTCGCGGTACATTTGTTTTCCTTTTCGGTTTTGCTCCCAACCCTCAGAATAGTGTGCGAAGCTGCGGAGGAGCGTCGTTGCGGAGAGGAAGTAGGGGAGAAAGGGGGGGGGGGGGGGGGGGGGGGAGTAAGGCGGGAGGGTATTTATGGAGAGAGTGCCTAATTAAGGGGGGCTGTCCTCACGAAACGCGCCTACATCCGCTTTTTGGTGCGCGTTTTCCTTTTCTTCTTGAAGGGGACAGATTTGCGTTTGTTTAGGGGCTTTACTCCGTTTTGGGACGCTGTTGCGTGAACGGCGAGAGCGTGCGTCTTTGAAATGGGCTGGCAGCAACCAGATATGGAGGTAATCCGTTACAAGTAACAAAATTACTCGTAATCTGTTATTTCTTTTATTATAATTTAGTAATTATTTCATTTTTTTGAGAAGTGTAATTTGTTCAGAAATTTAATTACCTTCTAAGAAACGAATCACTGACAATTACTGGTTCAATTTGTACCGTCCGGCCGAAAGAAAATATGATGGCAGAAGAGCGATGCGATTAGATCCGTGCTTCTCCAAATGCCCGACTCCCACTGGAGCGACAAACCGAAAGAAATGACAGCGACAAACCTCAAACACATGCAGCATGCTCGCGATGGCACCTTTGGCAGGGGTTTAGTCGTTCGGTGCTCGTGAATACAAGCCCGCCAAAGATACCCTCGCGTGCATGATGCTGAGCATAACCTCTTTTATTCCAGAAACCCTGTCAAATCGCGAAATACTATGGTTTGAGGCTTGTCGCTGTCGTTCGTTTTTGTTTGTCACTCTAGTAGGACACGGGCATTATGCAATTACTTCCGGACAACGCAACAAGCGGGTCCTAACCTTCGCTTCGTTTCAAGAGGAGAACGGACGTAACCATTAGCCAAACCGGGGGATCAAAACACGTTTGCACGTGTAAGCCAGCGCGTGCGTGTATAGGCGAGCTGGGAGGAGAGGGGGACGGACTCGAAGAAGATGTTTCGGGGATATGCGGTGACTAAGTCATGAATGACACTGTTAGCTTATAAACAGCCCCCACTTGATTTTTTTCCCCTCTTTCGATGATGAAATGTGAAGGAAGTATCGAGAACGGACCAAATGCGGCGGGCCCAACCGAGAAGGACGTTTTGAGAATGGTCCTGTTGTGGATTGTTTGTTGCTGTTTCCGCCTGAGCGACCAACCTTGAAAACATACAAAAAGCCAGCGTGGGGAATCGCCCCTGTTCACGCCTGAGCGTTGTGAAAGCTAAATACTGCGGGCCAACCATCTGGGCGCTTTGTGCCACGTGACTTCCCACTAGCGCGTCCGTGTAAGCAGAAGATGTGTCGGCGATGTGACACCGGAAGCTTGCTTTTACACCAAAAATATATGTTTGCTGTTAAAGCTGTCAGTTTAAACGGAGATCGGCCGGAAACCCTCGACAGTTTCGAAGGCAGGCAGGGAGCTGCCAGAGGAACGCTGCCGAAAAGGCTTCAGACGTTCATAGAAACGCGAAAGTTAAAGGAGGTTCCAGCTCGGGCCGGTTGAGATGATGATGATGGCGTTGAAGAAAGGAGAAAACGTCGGTCATTATCAGGGCAAGGCAGTATCGCAATACAAATGTATCGGGATAGTACATCGGAAACGCTTTCAGGCATCTGTATTTCTGTATCGAGATACAGTCGAGCATTGTATCTCCCAGGGAAAATACATATATTTACAATGTATCGCTTGCATAGCGATACACTGCCGGAAGTATCTCGTTACCTTTGTTGTCGAAAATTGACTATCAGGTTCTTACGATAAACTCTTTCTTTTCAGGTTTTCTAAAGCATTCAGCTTTAATACAAAAGTAAAAAATAAAAATATCGCAGTTGTATTTTAATTTAGTGAATAAACCATCAGATGCAGAATTGCTTTTTATGAGGAATGCAGGAGACGCTAACTCTAGTTTCAGCATTACAGGCACGCGACATCGTGTGTTAGTTTCTTTTTTCCTCTTTTCTTTTCCCTCTCTAGTATTGAGGATTTCGGAGCTGGCGAGATATTCTCGGAGTGTTTTGGAGACCTCTCTTTTGTTCTTTTTCACAATTGCGTTGTTTGGTGGGCTTAGCTCATGGTGCAGGCGTTCGGAATCCGGCCAACCATGCCAAATCTCTTCGACGTTGGCACGCTTCGCTCACACTTTAAATGCTAAATAGAGTTAGCGTAAAAAAAGAATGCGATTCTGCAATTAAAAACAACCCCCCCCCCCCCCCCCCCTTCAAAATAACACACACAAAAAAACAACGCATTTGTGTTTTAGTTATTAAAAGTGTCGGATACTCAGGCGCTTCTGTTACCACTTTCGAATCTCTGATTCTGAGAATACCGGGCCCAGGATGAGGGAAGCCTAAAAAAATAATGACTTAGCGACGTTCTACTTTCCCTGATAGCTGTGTACATCACTGTGCCCCCGCACAACTACGCTGCACTCACGGAGCAAGCTGTTGTTGTACACGGAGTGCACTGTTGTTGTACACCGCAGACAGAAACGAGCGCGCGGATATTTCACGCGGAATACTTCTCCGCCAACCGACGCCAAGAACCCGAAAGCAAATGAGCCAAGAATAGAGCGTGTCTCTTTCGTGCCACCCCGCCACCGACCATGCCGCCACGTCATGGCTCAGCGCGCTCCGCGTGCATGCACAGAACCCGCAAGCGCGGTTTGTGCGTTCATAAACCCCTATGTCGTCTTCTCCAAATTACATAAACGGGCCCTCTTTGTTTAATTTTTTTTCCCTAAACAATGCCATATGCCCTATTATTGTACCCCCTCGTTCGGTGTGCGAACTGCCTCGCAGACAAGAGCATTTCCTGAATTTCCTCAAGGCAAGGCCTCCGAACTGTTTCACTGCCAGCTTTTTCTGGCTTCATTCTCTGGTGCGCAGTTTTCACTTACATTCGACTTGATGCATCGCAAGCAAAAGAAACAACTTCACTCCGTGCAAAGAATTCTCGTCGAGGGCATTCACATATCAACGTCGTTTCTGATTATTTTATTTTGTTTCTAATTTCGTAGCTTAATATGTATGCCTGTGCCCACAGGGGCTTTCCATACAATAAGCGATTGTCAGCACAGGATGTTGTAACAATATCAGGAAGAAATGAACTCTATCTATTGGAGCCCATAGCGAATCGGGGGATCGGTGGCCGAGTGGGCTAGCGCACACCTGCAGCTCGGAGCACGTGGAGCGAAAGCTCGCGCTGCAAAACCCAGGGATCCTGGGCTCAATCCCCGCCCACTGCCCGTTTCGATCTAGATGAGCATCTAGATCGGAGTGCGGTCGTGTATCACTGTTGCGTAATGCCCGTTAAAGACCCCGGACTACCGGTTTGTACTGCACTGACTCAATTTCCCATCTGCAGCTGAGGGGCAAGTCGCCCGTTCAGGCAGACTAAGTTCAGGCTGTATAAACATACCCACACACCCCATAGCCAATTGGGCGGCGTACACGTTTTCTTCTTAAAACCGAAAAACTCCTCTCACCCATTTTGCGACATTCCAGTCTATGATTACAATACGTGCGCTAAAACAAATATCTAAAAAGCTAATTACTAAAATGTGGGTCCCTAGATGATTTATTCTCATGACGCAACACTCGCGCCCTGGCGTGCGTCCGCGCGGTCGAGAGCGTCGTCCATCATTCTTTCTTTACCGCAAATGTCCTCACTTTTCTGATCAGCCTAACATCATCATCATCGTCATTATTACACTAAACAGACGCATGCCCCGTGCCGGACAACATGCACAAAATGTCTAAGGAGCGAAGTTTGTCATTCAAACGCTGTGGATTTCGGTTGTATAAAAAATCAATAAAACATGTTTTGTTTTTTCGCTGCAGAGTTTGTAAGCCTCGAATTAAAATCAGGCGACATCGGTGTCTTGAACAGAATCCACGATGACCGATCCTCCGAACTTGTTACAGAGGTTTGAAACCACGACGACAAACTGGAGGTTCAGTATTCCCTTTCATGAGCAGAGCACGGCTGCTTGTTTTGAACAGGGACCGGTCTTGTTAATTCGCGCAGCTCTTCAGGAGCAGTAGAGGATGGTACGTATTATGGTACGTTTCCTATAAAGCAACGCGCGGGACCCTCGTGACGTGACTGGTGACGTCACGTGTCACGTCATTATGGGAAACGTCTCATAATGCAACCCGACGGTCACGAGTGACAGCCGCGCGTTGCATTTTGGGACGTTTCCCATAATGCACCGCGCGGTTATGCCGACGCCGCTCAAGCCGGAAACGGCCGCCTAAGAGCTGCGCTCTAAAACAAAATCTTCAAATCATTTTAAATACGTATACTAAATACCTGCATCTGAAATACTGTCCATCCCTTGTCTCAGCTACGCGAAAACGGCAGCAGTATTACTACCGCCGTCTAGTTGCAGACTTTACCGATCGCTATGCTCTGCGAGCGGCACACGATAAAACGAGCCCCTGATCCTGAATGCAGCGCATAGATTCAGACATAGAATCTGAGGGCGGGGTTCAAGGGTGGTGAGCGTCAACTTACCGTGCCGTCAGCAGCCTCGGCAGCACCGCCTTTGACGTCGTCTTCCGGCTCTCCGGTATCCGTCGGGCTGGACAAGCGGGATGAGGTCACGTGACGACCGGGACGCACAGAACCAGCCCCCGAGAGACCACCCTCAATGAGAAGCTAGCTTCTGGGATGAACCGGCCGCTTCTATCGCACGGCACCCATCTCAGAACAACGCAATCCCGAACAAACACTAGCCTTAACAATATACTGATGACCCAAACGAACCTATGAACAACATTCCCTAGTATTAAACGCTTCGACGGAATAAAAGTTAAAGGGCCCCTGAAAAAAGAAAGAAAAACCTTTTTTTTTTTTTAAACAGACTGGTAAAAACAAGCGTTACAAAAAAAAAAAAGAATTACGCGAGAAAAGGTTTTTAGAGCAATATTGGCGGCGCGAGATTTATTTTAAATTCTGCGCGAAGTCCACGACGTCAGGGAATGATCATGCCTTCCTAAACGATATGGTCATACACTTTCTCCACCTCAACGTGACTGCCAAGCCGCCTAACCTCGCCTCTACGCGCCCGAAATGCCGAGAGAGAAGAGAAGTGAAAAGGAGGTGACTGCAGACTACATCCCGTCTCGCGATTGCTCTAAAATATTTTGTTTTTCGCGTAAGATTAATATCTTGACACGTGTGTCCCATCCAAACTGTATAAAAAAAAATATTTTTCTTTTTTTCTTTTAAGGGCTTTTTGAAGAGCGGGAATATCCTAGGGTCAGTGATGAAGTATTCGTTGCGAGTTGGTGGAAACTTACGAGGATACAAGACGAACCCCGAAACTTGACTGCAATAGAAACGAGTACCGAAGTTTAGAGTACCAGAAAGGACAGGGATACCGACAACATCTAAAACGCTATCCATATCCGACCGACTTTACTTCGTCACTATCCACGGGGATTCGGTTGATTAGGCGAAAATTACAGGAATCTCAAGAAATTGCATTTATACAACTTCACACTTTTCGAGTGTCCACTTGACGAGATACTTATCAAAGTTCAACTTTGCCTCCACGATCGTGTTGTAATACAAACTGGCAACGAAACAAACGACATGATCTACTGAAATATCTCCCTTTTTTTTATTTGAATTGTCAAGAAAAAGCAAAAAGCAAAAAAAAAAAAATGGCCAAAGCGGTTTAAGTTGAAAGACAGAAAGGGCGGTACCACTTCCCCGCGTTCAGGTGAGTCCTATAATAATACCGAACGTGATTTCTTCACTCCACGCACGAAACGTCTGGGAGAAAACCAACAGCCTCAAACACTGGGACTCCCGGGGCTTTGGAGGGACATGCCCGCTAACGGCCGGTGGCGATGGGTGTGTCCCTCGGGCAAAAGCGTTCGGGTGTTCCTCTCATGCTTATATGCCCACTCACCCGGTGAAGTACTCCAGCGACACGCTCACGGTGTCTTGGGGGCTGAAGATGAGCCTGGTCGAGGCGTCCACCACGCCGCGGTCCTCGAGGCACGACAGCTTGGCAGCTGCAAACGGAGGAGCCAAAGAGAGGGGAATGTTAGGCCCCTATGGCGACGGATTCACCCATGGAGAGCCAAAGATTGGGAACCCATCTGTCTTCCCCTTTGGAGCTTTAAAGGACAAAGGGGTCTCCAAACCAAAAACGGAAAGCGGGAAGCCTGCCCTTTTGGCGGAGAGTTTTCCCGACGCGTTCCGCTTCGTCCCGTCTTTTGAGGGGGGTGCACCCGGGTGCGATCTTGGAATGCGTGCGTGACGAAACCACTGGGCGCAACCAATCACGGGGACGAGGAAAGTGCAGAGCAGCGGGCAAACCAGGCACGAAGCAGCAAACAGGAACCTCGAGCCGAACCAAGGAGGCGGCCAAGAGAGGCGAGGTACGCGAAGGAGCAGGTGGACAGACGTTCTCGTTGGTCGGTCACGACGAATGACATCTTTCTGACAATTGAATCGATGTCGCGCGCACCCTCTTTCCCCGATGTGTCCGTCTTACTCCGGCAAAAATCACGTCCAAACCGATAAACGGAACGAACAGTTTCCGCTTTCCGCTAAAAGTGCACACTTCCCGCTTTCCGTTCTTGGTTTGGAGAACCCCTAACTACGGTAAATTTTGCCGAGTTTAGGGTTACGAAGTGTAATTGTTTTCTATGGCTGGTGTAATTTTGTAGATATATTAGGGAGTTTTAGAATAACGTACCCAATTTTAGCGCACGCTGGTGCTAAATTTAGCGCTAGCGTTAGCGCACGCTACGCAGGAGAGTTTTACAATAACGTTTCTCCATCACGACGCAAAAGCCCAAGCATCTCGTGTTTGCAACGCCACCGAGATACAGTCACAATTTTTATTTCACACACGAAACACTATAACTTCATAAAAAAACAAGCTTTTTGGCCCAGAGTAACATTTTCGCTTTGGTAAAACACGAGAATGCGACGCGAGCGGTCATTTGATAGTGGACCCCCGCTTGCGTCGCCTCGGCAAGAGGTGTCTCGCTTACTGACCTTCCCACCCGTATTTTCGCCAAGAAATGTTCGCGCGTCGCAAGCATTAAGTTGCCGGTGATCGTTGCCCACCTTACTGGGTTTTCCAAACCGACTGCAATGTCGTCCCATATTGAAAATTGCTGTCGCGAAGATGCCGCCAACGTTGCCCTTACGACGCCGTCAAAGTGGCCGCAGCCTTGGTCCTGGGGGCCGCCATTTTTTAACTTTGCTCGTCTTGGCTTTAGCCAACTCCTTTTCACGAATTCTCCTTGAAGGAGCGCAAAGACTCTTTGTGTACGCATGCAATTTCCGAAAAAATAGCGCACAAAAAGCGCAAAACGTGGTTAGCGTTCGGCGCATGCGCAGTGCCGACGACGCTATAATTTGCGCACGCAAAGCTTTAGCGTACGCTGATCTAAAACTCCCTATTATATGAAAGTTTTGTTTCAGGGGTCTACGGTGAAACCGAAACTACAGGAGGTATTCACTGGACGCCATATTTGAGGGCGACGTTTAGAGCGCATGCTCAGAACGAGCTCACATTAATAGCCAGCTAAGGCCGGCAACCTTGATGGTGCTAAGTGCACGCTCCAAAAGGACTGCGGAAGCTCGCCGTCAGCACGCGCTGAGCACCAGCGCCTACGGATATGGCCGCCAGTGAATACCCTCTATACCGGCTCGTGCAGGACGGCAATCCTTGTGATCCGCTGCAAGACCATCGTGTGACGGAAAGTTTGTACCGCGGTGCCGCAAAACGGATTGGTCTAGTATCAAGAGCAGTTCCCATTATTCAGGTAAGATACTGCCTCTGTTTTACTGCTTTGCATCGTAGATACAAACGGCTGTAGCAAATAATACATATTCATAATCGTAAGCTCGCACTAAGCAGACACGCACTAAACCATGGCTGCCAGTGCATGCCGCCTTCGGCACGAGGACGCACTTGAGTGAACAGGGAATAAATAATCCTGCGCAATCGCTGAGGATCACTTACGAATACGGCAGCTAAAACATAACGCAATAAGCAGAAATCGTCTACTGGGACGGCCGAAAAAGCAGCAGAAAAACGCGGCTTAAAGAAGTGGCAGTAGGAACAATGACCTACTGGAGTACGCGAACATGATGTCATGGCACAAGGTTGCTTGACAAACAGTCAACCCGCTGAGAAGCTTGTGCTAGTATTTCTAATAGCGGATTCAGAGTGGATCGCGGTTTCCCATTTGTGTCATCCTTCGGCAGTGCTCGTACTCTGTTTGTCTGTTTATCGAGATCAGTAATTTATTTTAGTTTGAGTTTTGACAGGAGGTACCCTTTGAACTTACCAAGTAGTGATACTGTGTGTATACACAATAATCATGGAAGCTTTGTCCGCTAGATAGGTATGATAACTGATATGACCTGGCAAACAGCTTGCTTGCTACTCAGCCCCCGCCCTTTTTCTTCAACAGACGCACATACATTCAGAGGTACAAAAGAATGGCGAAAACTCAATGGAGGCAGAATTATAAAAGAGAGCGATAGCTATAACTACATGACAACGAATAAAGGAGGAAAAAGCTACTATACTTTATTTAGAGCAAGACCTGAGAAGCGGCAAAGGCTATGACTACCGCCGAGCCACAAGTCGTTGTTGACGTCCACCAGCTAGCTAGCCCACCGAGTACAGAGCAGCGAAGCTTCAGCGCCGGTTTATCCGGCGACGGCATGCATTGCACCGACCATGTACATTACAATGGTTCTCACCTGCGTCGGGGTGCTGGTCGTAGAACTCCCGGCGCTGCTTCATCTCCCCTGGGGAAAAAAGAGGACGACCAACGCTCACGTCTAGTTCCCGCAGACAAGGAACAAAACACAAAACTATGGAAGGAGCAGTGAGAGTGGTGCAGGCTGCTTGGTGAAGGGGAGCTATCGCGACACCTCTGGCAAGACTCATTCTGATCGAGGCCAGAAGACCGACGCCAGAAGAAAAAAGGCAAAATACTTGAGAATAACGCTTACTCTGGTAAAGTCCCGGAACCACCTTGTAGACGATGTCCTGCAGAGTCTTGTCCACCCTGGGTGAGGGGCAGGAATGAAGTAAGTGTCGAGGGTGGTAGAAAGACAAGTACGAAGGCAAGCAGAGCGGCCTGGACGTACCTGAGGCAGCTGAGCGGCCTGGACTTGTGGACGGGCACGTCGCAGATGGGGCACAGCTTGCTGGTGTCCAGGTAGCGCACGATGCACACCTTGCAGACTGCAAGGAGAGAGGGACACGTCCTCATCAGTGCATTCCAGAGCGAGAGAGAAGGAAGGCACACTCACAGGAGTGGAGGCAATCGACCAGCGTGGCGGCGTTCACCAGGTAGCCCCCGCACAGCATGCAGGACAGCGCGGCGTTCAGGTCGCGCAGCAGGGCGCGGGGCATCCTCTCGGAACGCTGCCCTTCTCCTCCTCATCTGTCACACTGCCGAGTGGGCAGAGAGAGAGAGAACGAGAATGAACTAATCGCCAGTCGTCAAGCATACCCTCAACCTCTTTCACTACACGGCGCCCAACAGCAGGTGCTTTTTGACGGGAGAGTGGCGACGCAGTTTAGCATTGCCGCTTTAGCGGATAATGTGGTAACTCATAAGCGTGAGCTATGTGAACCATCTACGTTAGATGTCCCAGTATCACGGGCGACATTACCTGAATCGCGGAATAACAAGTCAGCGATGACCACTGGTAACAATAGTCAACATCTCCTTCTGTCTACTGTTTACACCAACACTACTTGCCCCGATCAAACTTCAAACTTAGAAGTCTTTTGAGGCCTGCACTCACTTCTTGTCGCAACGTTTGGTCTACTGGCCGCTGTCGTTTCAATCAGCAGACGGCAGTTTGAACGATCGACGCCCGTTCGAAGGTAAAAACGCGCACTCAACGTCCTGACAACTTGGCGGTTTTCCCAAGTTCATGTAGGAATAAAACAAATAAATGTGAAGACCACAAATATCCGTGAATTCAACTTTAAGTGCTTCCCGCACAAGCAATCGTGGTCTGACGGTCTCTGGTTTCCTTTTCACGGCGCTTATCCCAGTTTTCAGACGAACTGAGCAGGCAGAAAACACATTAAAACTGATCTTGAAGCCTTTTATAGCTTTTTTCTCCATACTGGAAAACTCTTTAACTTGGACGGTTATAATGCCGTCTGCTTGGCTGATGTGCGGCGAATACGGCATTTCGCCAGGAAACTAAACTTTTTCTAATAAACATCTTGCACTTGAAGTGATCGAAACATGCTGCTGTTAATTGCCACTATTTTTTGCGGGCAGAAAACAAATTTGGCCATGAGGAATGTATGCTGCAGAGGGTACGTGACCAGCAGCTGCAAGGCCACTAAAATGGCACTTAGTGTTAAATCACTGCAGTGTGTTTGAGAGCAACAAATTAGTGCTGCTTGATGCGGTGTTGTCAAGAGTGGCGCGACAGCGTGACATCATAAAGACGCGCCTTCAGGCACGAGTGTTTGTGCAAACAAAGTAGTTTCCGGGGCCACGCTTTCTTTTCTCTGTTATGCAGCGTGTTCTAAAACAGCTTATATAGTGTTATTTTTTTTCATCTAAAAAATAAAATACGCATCGGCGAACGTTCATCATCAACCCAAATGTAGCAATAGCGATCTAAAACAGAAGCCAACCTTTCAGAACTAATTAACACAAATATATATATATATAACCCCCATGCCCGTTATATATATATATATATATATATATATATATATATATATATATATATATATATATATATATATATATATTTTATGGGTGATTTCATCACAACTCAGGCACGAATTTAGGGCGAATTTTTAATTTTGACGAAAAATATACATGTTTTGGGGCATTTTCTATAATAAAAAAAGACGCAAACGGCAATTTCGTCGGATTTCTTGTTGTCAAGTTATGAACCGTTGAAGCGGCCAAGGATAAAACTGACGTTTTTCCAGCCTATCGGAGGAGCCATATTTCACTCCATCCCTTTTCCGTACTTTTTACGCTACATCAATATTACTTTTCGGGAAAACTCTTAGACTTTTTCGTGCTAATTAAGTGGCTAGGCCATACCATTCTTAATGGTCTTATTTTTATTTGTGAAACCGCCTTTCTGCGACGATATTTGATGAAGTTCAGCAAGCTGTGCTCTGTGACCAAATCAACATATCTTTATGATATTTATATCACCGTAAAGGCTCCAATTAAGCTTTTTCTTTTGAGTATAGTTTTAATATTTTGCAATAAGCATACAATGCGCTACATGTGCCCGAGAAACAATATTTTGAAAAACTGGCAAGTTTGAAGTCGAATATTTAAAAAAAAAAAAAAACTCTTTTTATTTCTTTTATATTTTATTCACGGTTATTCAATAAAGTAGTCTATCAGAGACTACCAACGGAAATTGTAATACATTCTTTGTAGGGCCGCTCGCAAGGCCTCTCCCACCCGTTCCACACCCAAAACGTCAGCTACATCCTGTTCACCCATTGAGGCGCTTTGACCTTGATACGACTCCCCCAAGCTCGCCTTTCTCCCTATCGTGGCTTATCTTCTGCGCCGAAGTCGACACAAAGAAACCATCTTTCCTCTCTGCTTGGCCGGAAGGAAGAGAGAGAGAGGGTACTGGAACCATTTACTCTGGAACCGATGTTTCTGAGAGAGAGGGTACTGGAACCATTTACTCTGGAACCGATGTTTCTACAAAAGGTCCATTATAGAAAAACCTTTTTTTTCCATTTGTGATCCTAAATATTTTGTTTACAAAATAAAATATTTAACCAAACAAAGAAGAAAAAAAAAGCGGAAGTGTTTTGAACCGGCTACCGTTTGCTTTTTTTCTGGTTCAGTTCCGGTTGTGCTCCAAGATGGTGACGGCGATTTCGGTTCGACTCAGTTCCAACTCGACTAAAAATCACGGTTCTGTTTTCGGTTCGGTTCCGGTTCGGCACTATGGTCAATCGGGAGTTTTCGTAGAACGTTTTCGCCGTCCCGCAACGCTCTCCGCAACCCGCTACGATACCTGGAACTCTAGAGTCAAGGCCACCGACGCGCAGGCGCAGCAGCGGCCTTCTTCGTTCCGGAGTGCTTAGCGGGGGAGGAAACGCAGTCTACGAAAACACCCTAAAACCACAAAACGTCCTCATTTATAAATGAAGAAAAAAAATTTACGCATTTATCTCTAACGCTATTGCCTTCCTTTTATTTTGAGGTAATGTAGCTCGGTAACGGGTAAATTCTGTTGGAAAGTAACGAGTAACATATTTCGTTACTTTGTTTTCAGTAACGCCCACATTAATGCGTAGGTTTACATGGCACGGGACACTGTGGCGTCATCGAGGCTACGTGCCAAGGGCCCAAACTCCCCGAAGGTGGAGTTTGGGCCCTTGGCACATTTTTTAAAATAAAGCTTAGGCATCGCCGTATAGTCTTCGTAGGCGTTTGAAAGTCGTACTCTCGGCCGACGTCGCTCGAAATGTAGGCGGCCGGTAGCAACACAGGAGGGGGGGGGAGCAGTCGCTCGTCCGCAGGCAAACCGTGCTCGGCAGTCCTCCGTCAGAGTGGCCGCTGTCTTGGAAGGGAACGCAGTTGGTGCGGGGTCCATCGGTCATCCATCAGCCAACGCTGGCCGACACGCACACATGCGCCGCGGTCCGTGTGCCCACACCCGCTTGGCTCAGCTGGTCCCCGCGACGCTCTGCCCATTGTTCCCGCGCCGTCTGACCTTCGCTCGCACACCCGCGGACGCAGACCGGCCCAAAGTGACGAGGAAATGCGCGAAACGTACACCGTGCGGACAACGACGCCCAGACTCGTGCGGGACCTGGCGCGTTCCATCCACAGCTGCGGGGAGTTCGTGCGCACACCCCGCGCATATGGTCACGTCGTGAGGTCGAATTGAAGCCCGGACCGGTGCCGGCGAGGGTGCGGTCTTTCGCCTCGAAAGATGGCAGTAATAACATTACGTAAAATACTTTTTGGGGTAATGAGTGATGTAATTAATTACTTTTCTAGGCTGGTAATATGCTACTGTAATGAGTTGCTGACAAGTAGTTAAAAAAAAACATACTCATTACTTTTGTCCCGAATGAGCAGACTTAAGAATTAACCCTCACTTTTTGAAGTAATTTTGTAATCGTCACGTTACTTTTTTTCCGCAAGTAACCTGTCAGGTAATTTCGTTACAATATTGCTAAAAGATTACTTGAATTAATCGTTACATTAAAAAAAATATGACACAATAGCGAAACTGCATTGATATGAGCAGCATACAGATAGCAAGTTCAACTATATCACCTATTTGAACTTCTTCGACGTCTCCCACTACCTGAACAGACATCGAACGTAGTGTCGCAGAACATTTTTGAAAACATAAAAATTGTTCATACCGATTTTCTTGGTAAGTCTTCGAAAAAAGTAACGTGAAAGTCATTTGTAAACTAACGCGTAAAGTAATCCGTTACTTTTCCGCGAAAGTGATCTGTAGCGGTAACAGATCGATAGGTATATTACCGCTACAATTGGGCCACGGCTCACGAACTCTGCAGGCAGGAGAGATTTACGGCGTCACTTCATCACGACGGGACCGTGCATCATTCGTCCCTCTGCTGACAATGCGGTGGGAGCTACAACCTCACTGGAACCAATCAACGACCCTCCTTTAATCACCTGACCCCTTGTCTGCGCGTCAGTACGAACGAGAGCGTGGTTATGTGGCTAAAGACACAGGTGTGACCGGCCCAACTAGCACGTCGCTTCCACCACACTGTCAGCTTACGGATTAACGGCTTATAGCTGCCATGTTATGAAGGGAGCATTGCCAAGGAGATAGACACATTTTAAAACCTGAGCGGTCAGAACACGCGGATTCCCACCCTTACGAAAATAGCAAATCTGGACTTATATAAAAAGAAACAAATATGGCTATATAAAAATTGGGCATCTCTGGCCATATCAAGCCCGTCAGTTTCTATACGGCATATCTAGTCAGATATGCCCAATTTTTATATATCCATATCTGGGTCTGCCAAATAGGGGTATATCTGCCGCCCATATCAGGCCAGATATGTCCCAATCAAATAAGGAAACCTTTATATATATATATTGTTGTTTTCTAGAAATAACTACCAAAAGTGACTTCTCATCTGTATAAAAAAAATACAAATTGGATACAGAGCATGTACCAACTTTTGTTCATTTTAACATAAGCTGCGCTTTACGCCACTCTCGATTTCGCAGAACTTAATTTCCAGGGAAAGCAGGATTACCGACATTCGCTTAACGAATGTAGATGAAACGTTAATGTCGACGAAACGTGTGTCCATGAAGCGTGTATCCACGAGAAGGTGGCTGTGGAACCTGTTATCACGAAACGCAGGGAGAATGAAAAAAATCAATATTCTACCTGCAGTAAT